CTGCTACCAAGGATAAGCACCTGCCCAGAGCCCAGCTGCTGCATTCTGGACCAATAGAATGTTCCTAGAGACTCTTTGAAGGCAGTCCCGCGCAGAGGACTTGGTAGTCTAGTCCAGAACATTGACTACTGGGAAACTGCTTTTGTAAATAAATGGTAACTATTGTTTGGAGGGCACTGATGGAGATAAGTTTTGAGTTTTTCCCACTTTCAGTGCGGTACTACAGACTTCTTACTTTACATACACTGAATAAATAATAGTGTGGGAAGAGGCCTTTATTTCTAGATTACATTGATGAAAACTGAATTGTTTTCTTGTTTGAAACCAAAATTAACTTCCTGTGTGTATGCCTGCTTTGGAGCCTTCACAATTGCTTCTGTTGATAATATCACCGCTCTACAACATTGATGTTCCTTTTTATATTGTGGGAAAATACAAAATCTTTCCCGTTTCCTGGTACCCTTCATGTAAATTCCCCCTGCCTCAATTTTTTCTATGCTTTCACCCACCCACCTCACCCGTGGCTTCCAAGTGTGAGGTATTTCTTCTCTCCACTGCAAAAGCGTGCATACAAGCATTTCCTCGTAAATGTCCCATATGTAAATCAGTCATGTGAGATCTGTTGAAGGCTGCAACTTCCTTTGCCACACGGTGTATGCATAATATCAGAAAGCACTTCTGTCCAGTTGCTTGGAAGAGAAATCTGGTGGTTGAGGTGCAGAATGAGACTGGAATCACCTTTTTCCATGATGTATTTTAGGCTACAATACTTGACTGGACCAGGCCCCCGATTGAACCCTGTATACTGCCTATCTGGTTACTTGCAAGGACACACACACATATTACAATGGGGGTTGCATCCAGTGCTAATCCTACTCAAGGTAGACCCTTGACATAACTAATATATTAATTCCCATGTGTCTATTCTAGATGGGACTTAGTTGGATACAGCCCTTAATATTTAAGCTGCATTGAGGCTGAAGTGGGGTGAAAATATTGCAAGTAAGTGACCTTGTGAAATGGGATTGAAATATATATATATAAAAAATGTCCAGTAGCACCTTAGAGACCAACTAAGTTTGTTCTTGGTATAAGCTTTCATGCATGCACACAAAAGCTTATACCAAGAACAAACTTAGTCTCTAAGGTGCTACTGGACCTTTTTATTATTTTTAAATATATTTCGACTGCGTCAGACCAACACTGCTACCTACCTGATTGTGGAATGGTATGTGGGGGTGGAGGTGAGTTTTGCAGCCCCATCTGCAGAGGTTCACAATGGTTTAGCTTCTAGGAACCACCTTGCACACTTGCTTATGGTTAGATGTCTCACTCCCTATCTCCTTCCACAGTTTGTGGCTTGTGTAGTCTTGCAGCTTCTGACTTGCTAGCTTTTTTTACTGCCCCTTTCCTTCATTTAATTCCTATTGCCCATCTCCAAAGCAGGCTTTCTTTTCCTCTTTCTCTGCTCCTTTGATTTCGTACAGAAACAGGACACAGGCCCCTAAAGCTGATTTTAAACCTCACACAGCTGCATAGGGGGCGAGGGCAGCCTTCTATTAGGCATCCCACCATCATTTCCTTAAACTTCTAAGGGTTAAAGCTTGAAATACAAGCTTTCCCTAACACCTCTGTCAAACGATGTCCCTCCTCTCCTTTAATTCCTCTGCTAATTGCTTGTTTCTTAATCTTGGTGTTCCTCACCAGTTGAGAGGTATATTGTTCGGTTACCATCAGCCAAGTCTTTGCGTAGCCTGTTCTGGGGTATAACTCCAACCCCTGGCCAGCAGTAGCAAGGCATACCCAGGCACATGCCAGTAGATGGAGCAGGAAAACTGCCCCTGAGCATTGCCAGCTCCTAGGCTGTCACAGTGAAGAGGCCTGAGTCAGAATGGTTGCTGTCACCTTATTGCAGTGGGGCATTCGCAGAATCCAGTGGATTCTGTGCTGACCTGATTCTGCTGGCTACTGCCAATTGAAATGACACCTGCAGAAGCTCCTGCAGTATGGACAAGCCTAGTGGGACTCTGATGGCGGAAGCTGGCAGAGCTGGGTGGATGGGTGCCTTGGCTCTATTTAAGCCCCTCCCAGCATGGTGGATTGGGGGTTTGAATTGCTCTGCCCCAGGTGCTTTTGTATTGGGATTCCTAAGTCACAGTACATCTGTACTCGCATACAGGCAGGTCGCTCCAGTGCGTGGTTCAGGCATGCAACTGGTAATTGACTCCATCTCCGAGCCATCATTACGCATTCGACTTCAACATCTAGTCATTATTTGCTACCTAGCTCTGGTATTATTATCCATCATCATCATCCATCATCATCAATTTTATTTGTACGCTGCCTTTCCAAAGTTAAAACCCTGTACAAGATGGCTTGCAGCATAAAAAAATTACATAACTAGAAACATAAAGCAGTCATAGAAAATAAACAAAACATCAAAAAGTATGCAACCAAACTGAAAAATTTCAACATAAATTGTAAGTGCCAAATAAAGATCCAAGAAATTAATAGCAACAACCTGCCCGCCCCTAAACAATACCCCATTCCAGGATTCTGTTCAGCAGCCTCAGCTTTTGTAGCTGGAGTCAGGGCCCTTTTGTAGCCAGAGTCAGGTGGGAAATGTTTGCAATGCAGAGAGCAGGTCTTCCAGGACTCTCAGCCAAGATGGTCCAGTGACCTCGGTTTCCTAGTGAAAAGGAACCAAAACCCAAGGAAGACCTTGTAAACCTGAAATGCAGCCACAATCACATGCTGTTAATAGTATCCAGCATCTGATAGAGAATATTTCAAGTGTTCAAAGAACTTCCTATGGTTTCAGTGATCTGCACAACCATTCTGGAAGCCAGGCCAGATCTTCATTTTCTTTTTTCTTCAGTATTGTAGAAGGGAGGCTGAGAGAATCTATAGAGGCTTATCTAAATTTATCTGCTGTGTGTTTGCATGGCAGAGATCAGAACTGGCCACTTTTTCTTGGCTACAGCTGTTTATATATCACTATTTGCTGTGGGGGTGGGACTGTATTAATTCAGCTATGGTTAACGAGAATGATACGTGGGTGAACTAAGATAACTTAACTTGGCCCTTGTGATGGCTGTTGACTTCAGACAATTAAAAAAAATCTTACTCACTAAATTGGCTTGTGATCGGAAGTAGTGATTGACTTTCACTGCTAGTGAGCTGCACTTCCATTTGTGCCACCCCAAAACAGCATTTCCACTTAATATCTACAAAACACGGGAGGTTTACAGGCTCTACAGGTGAAAATGGCCACTCTCAGTCATCCCACTCTGCTGTGCACATATGCAAAACCATTATATATAGCAGGGAGCAAGAACTGGATGCCTTTAATAGCACTTTGTTCATAGAAATTTTCCTGTGTCTCCTAGCTGTTATGGAGGCCAGAGAAGGAATGAACTGGGCCTAGCAGTGTACCAGAGACCTCCTGAATGTATTAATGCATAAATACTGAACACCTAAAAGGAAATGAGACAAACACCTGTCTCCTGTAGCAACTGCTACCTTTTCCGGAGTGCCAGCTCTTCAACAGCCTTGGCTTTTTTTTGACCATGCTCTTTTGCTCTGTAACACATTTCTTTGTTGCGTATTCTCACTGTGCAGGGTAATTCTTGATTATTGTTGTTTTGGGCTGCCGCTCCCAATGATTCACTCTTTCATGTGCTCTTTGAACCTGAAGGCAGCTTGTTGGCTAGCACACTGCCTCGCTAAGATCCCACTGGGATTTTGACACTGTTGGGAAATTACTCTTTGCAAGAGGCACGCGGTTGTAGGTGGGCTGTGGGGTTGGTCCCATCAACAGTGAGATCTGCACTGAGAACGCGGGGCCTTTATTCTGAAGTGTGTGCCACATAAGCCACATCTACACTATATACATCTAAAGCAGTTTCATACCACTTTGAACAGTCATGGCTTCCCTGAAAGAATCCTGGGAAACTGTAGCTTGCAAAAGCCCTGAAAGGCAGCAAGATACATTGGTCAGTCTTTATCACAGCCGAGTTCAGGAACAAAACCTATTTAAGTGCTGGTGTGAGCACAACCAGAAGAAACTTTGTCCCCATCTGCACTATATATTTAAAGCACTTTAAACAGTCATGGCTTCTCCCAAAGCATCCTGGGAACTGAGAGCTGTTAGGAGACTCCCTTCTCTTCTCACAGAGCTACAGTTCCCAGAGTTCTCGGAGAAGAGGGAATTGACTATTGAACTGCAGCAGTAGGACCTTTGCTCTGATCCAGAAAGGCTCTCCTCGGGGCCGGATTTAGGTTTGATGAGGCCCTAAGCTACTGAAGGTAATGGGGCCCTTTATATGCCCAGCTGTCCTTTGTCAACAACAAATTGTCACTGTTTTTGGTGGCGCTGTGGGTTAAACCACAGAGCCTAGGACTTGCCGATCAGAAGGTCGGCGGCTCGAATCCCCGCGACGGGGTGAGCTCCCATTGCTCGGTCCCTGCTCCTGCCAACCTAGCAGTTCAAAAGCACGTCAAAGTGCAAGTAGATAAATAGGTACCGCTCGGGCGGGAAGGTAAACGGCGTTTCCGTGTGTTGCTCTGGTTTGCCAGAAGCGGCTTAGTCCTGCTGGCTCCCTTGGCCAATAAAGCGAGATGAGCGCCGCAACCCCAGAGTGGGTCACGACTGGACCTAATGGTCAGGGTCCCTTTACCTTTAAATCCTGCGTAGGATCAGGCAGCAGGCCTGCCACTGTTAGCACCAAGTTGTAAAACAGGCTTTCTTCCCAGCATACCTGCTTTACCCCGAGCCAGACCCCACTGGTCCATCTCGGTTGCCTACACTGGTTGGCAGCGCCTCTGCACAGTTCCAGGCAGGGAATGGAGATGCTCCTTGGGGGCTTGAACCCGGAGCCTTCTTCATGCCAAGCAGGTGCTCTTCCTCACGCCGCCAGCCAATCGCCTGCCCCGCAAGGATGCCGAGAGAAACCGCGGGGGGGGGGGAGGAGAGACATTGACTTCCTGTTCAGTTCACCTGCTGGGAAGGCGGAGCCAAGAGGCCCAGGTAAACCTGGAGCGCGCGTGCGAGCGAGTGCGCGCTCTCCCTGCGGCCCCACCCTTGAAACTGGCTACCTGCGGCGGAAGGGGCGCCCCACAAGGAAGTTGCTGAGCGGGAGAGGAGGAGGAGGGGAAGCGAGTCGCCCAGCGCCCGGGAGAAAAGCCCCAGCTCTCAGGAGAGAAGGAGTCGCTCTCGAGACTGCAAGGGGGAAAGAAGAACACGACGCCTTCTCTTTTCCAAGAAAGTTGCTCGCTGCTTTCGACTCGCCGACGAGGATTGCTCCGGCCATGGCTTCTGGCTAAAGCCCCCCCCCCCCCGCCGCGATTCTTCTTTTCTGTTTCCCTGATCTAGCCAGGAATTGCTTTGGACACCTCCAAAGTGCGGATTCTCTGGAAACTTTTCCTGCTTTGCTTTCCTCTCGCTCTCTTCTCCCTCTCCGTCCCCCCCCTCCATCGCACTTCATCGTAAACTTTCTGTAAAAAGGAGAGAATAAAGCGGGGGGAGTGGAAATCTAAATATGAAGGATTACCGGCTTCCCAGCGAAGGAAAAATGAACATTTATCACCCACCTTCCGGGGCTACATCGAAGGCGTATGTTTCAGGCCTAAAGTACAGCAATAAATTGGAGGTAAGTGCTTGTTTGGGAGATTTCGGGAGGGGGCGGGGGAGAGATTGGAGTGGATCATCTGCGCTCCCTTTCCAGATCTTGTGGATCATTCCCAGAAAATTGTCCGGGACAGGAGTCTTTGGTGGCCAATCTCTTTAATGCTGTTCTTACCTTTTCCCCAAGCTGTATCATGAAAAGTGTGAGGACGTTTAAGAGTTAATGACCGGGTCAGGATCGGGGCCCGTAAACTCTGGTTTAAGGTGCGCGTGTTTCAGTGGGGCTTACTTGCGAGGAGGGGCGTGCGCGTGTGTGTGTTAGGATGGCAGCGTTTCACTAGAAGGGAAGAAAAGAAAGAGTCCTTTAGGGCTAGGCTTGTATCAAGTTCTGAGGATGAACGGCCTTGAGCCTGCATGGCAGGAGTCAGCTGGAAGGGACCGGCCATTTCTGTGTCTGTCCCTCAGCCTTGAAATCATCTCTCTCCAAGAACTGTTAAAGCCTCAGCCTATGCATGTTTTGGAACAGAGTAAGGCAATTGCGTTCATCCCAGCTGGCTTTTGGTGGCCAGGGAAAGGGCAGAAGAAAGAAAGCCATTCTATGGCCTTGCAAAAGATGCTGAGGTGCCACACTTTGAGCTCATCCTGTTACCTGACATCTTGTTTTGAAGTAAGCAGTTTGGCAGTGGACCATCTTGGGTTCCCCCATGTTGGGTGGCCAAATTTCCCCAAATGCAAAGAAGGTGTTTTGTTTTTGTGCTGGAGATTTTGAAAGGCAAAACTTGACGTCAGCGGCTGTGTCCTCAGCCTTGGATTCCATTTTAAGCAGATTGTCCTTGTTCTCGCTCAGTTTTTCAGGGTGGCTTTAAAGTGTAGGTGCTGTAAAGTCAAAGTCTCTGCTATGGATTTCTTTCCTGTTATGCTCTTTTGTGTAGTGCCGAAAAGGGTTAATTCACTGTCTCTTGTTAAGGTCAGAGGCCTGGTGTTCTTATTCAAGTAGACTTTCCAGTTGAGCCAGTGAACTGAGGACACCCGGCTGGGTAGCTGCTGCTGCCTCCCCGTGGGTGAGGTCTGCGGAGGCCTCTCTATTATGCGGGAAGAGTGTGGGCTTTCCTTAATTAAAGCCAATCCCATTTTTAAATGTGTACTTTTTTAAAATTAAAACTTGAACTTGGCTCCATTCAAGCTTGCTCTTAAAATCTGCGATGATCTGGATGAGATGAAATGTACTCCTTCTGTTTGATCACTTTTAAAGATTATTGTGGATGATAAATGTGGACGCTCATATCTCTCATAGCTTAGAACTGCAAGACAAGCATGCAGGGCCAGTTCCAGGGTTTTTTTTTCTTTGAGGGGGTGGGGTTCAGTAAAAGCGCCCACTTCTGGATGCCATCTTACGTAAGGGCCCCCCGCCTTTCAGGCTTTCCTGGGGACAACGGCTGAGTTAATAAACCACCATTTAAAATTTCCCACAGTGCCATGAGAGAAGCTACATTGGAGAAAATCCACATACATATTATTATTTAGCTGTGATTCCTGCATTGCAAGGAGTCAGCATACACGACCCTTGGAAATCCCTTACAACCTCACAATTCTATCATCATCATCATCGTTCTAGATTATATTCTTCCTTCTCTTCATTGCACAGTCCCAGGCCCGGTTTCAACTATTTAAACATACAGTCTTAAAAGTGATTAAAACAAATTGCAGTCAATATACATGGTAGGTCCTTATATATACACCATGTCAAGGCCAGAAGAAAGGGTTGTATCTTTAGGGAGGAGATTGCAAAGCCCAGGGCAGCTATAAATAATGCCCCCCCCCCCAATTTCTGATGCCTGAGAAAATACCAAGCAGAAACTACCATCTGCTGATCTTAACACCTGTGAGGGGCTGCTGGAGGAACTCAAAATGGCAGCTGCCCAACCTAATGGTGGGAGGTGGTGGCAGCAGCAGCAGCAGGGAAGATACCTTTCAAAAACAGGGAGCTGCCATCTTGGCATCATCAAGATCAATATCCCTTTACGCTGGATCCCCCCCCCCCCCGGGAAAGTGGGAGAGAACAGTTAATCTTTGCAGAAGCCTCACTGGGTGCCTCTGGCTTCCTTTCTCCTCTCCCTTCCTCAAAACTCCTATTGCTGTTGGCAAACCTCTCCTCCAATACATAAAAGCATCCCAGAGGACTGCAGCAGCTGAGGGTACCTTCTCTCTGCTGCTTCTTTTTTAAAAGCAAGCAACACGCCTCTCCAAATAAAGTCGATCCCTGTGGCCTGAATGAATTGTGCACCTGAAGCAAACTTGTGTCGATGGCTTGCTATTTTGGCATAACCTACACAATCAAATGCTATGCATATTTACGCAGTAGTAAACCCTACAGTATTCTAGGGGACTTGCTCCCAGATAAGAGTGCAGCCTTACTGCACAATCCTAACTGTGTTTTACTCAGACGTAAGCCTTGCTGAGGGACGCGGGTGGCGCTGTGGGTTAAACCACAGAGCCTAGGACTTGCCGATCAGAAGGTCGGCGGTTCGAATCCCCGCGACGGGGTGAGCTCCCGTTGCTCGGTCCCTGATGCTGCCAACCTAGCAGTTCGAAAGCATGTCAAAAGTGCAAGTAGATAAATAGGTACTGCTCTGGCGGGAAGGTAAACGGCGTTTCCATGCGCTGCTGTGGTTTGCCAGAAGCGGCTTAGTCATGCTGGCCACATGACCCGGAAGCTGTACGCTGGCTCCCTTGGCCAATAAAGCGAGATGAGCGCCGCAACCCCAGAGTCGGCCACGACTGGACCTAACGGTCAGGGGTCCCTTTACCTTTAACTTTATGAGCCCTGCTGAGCTCAATGAAGCTTACTGCCAGGCAAGCAGGTTTAGGATTGCATATGAAACGTATGAAGTTGCTTTATACTAAGTCAGACCAGTGGTTAATCTAGCTCAGTAGTGTCTGCACTGACTGGCAGTGGCCCACCAGGGTTTCAGGCAAGGGAGTCTTTTCCCAGCCTTAACTGTAGATGCTGCAGATTGAACCCGGGGGCTTCTGCATGCAGGACAGATGCTGTACCGCTGAGCTACACTTCCCCTCCCCTTAGCTGTAGCCCTTCCTCCAATAGGAATACACGCTTATTTCCCCTGCTACTTTCCCCCATACTTTAGGAAGAGGCTAGAAGCTGTTCCTTTGCTTTGATCTTATTTCCTGTCTCATTCCTGACTCTGCTTTCATTATAAACTTGGAATTAGGTTCAGTTCTTTAAAAAAAAGATGTAACATTAAATGCAGCTCAAAATGTTGTTCTGCATTCCAGCATAAAACCAGGAAGGGTCTCATCTCTACAGCACAATTTATATTATAACATGATGAATAAATTCAGCGTGAGATTTTGCTGAAGTCACCTGATGAATTTCCTGGTGCTGTGGCCAGTCGATTTTTAAAAAGGAAAAAGAAAAACTTGGTAAAAATATCCTTCAGGCTTCAGTATATTGAGAGAGATCTCTCTGCGTCTTTTTAACCCCCTCTCCAGTTTGTGCTCTTTGATGGTGAGTCACCAAAGAAGCAGTGATGTAGATCCTTCAGCTTAATGACTAGGGATGTTGACACTTTCTTTTTTCCTAACTGGGTTCATACAAAATCCCCCTTCCCTTACGAAAGCCAGCAGGGAATTTTAGTTTTCAACAGTATCTAAGATCTCAGTTTTACTTTACCTAGTGATGCTCAAGGGATTTGATCTTTGCAAATCCCTGTGCAGAAATTACCTGATTTGCTCACCTCTGAATGGGGTAAGGATTGGGATTTGGCTATCCATCCTAAAGTATCAAAACACATATTTTGAGGGGCATTTCAGATTGGTAGATCATAGTGAAAACAGAACAGAATTATGGGGTTAAAAACAGGCCAAGGTTGCATATGCATCATACATTTAAAATATGCCCACTCCAAGAATCCTGGGAACTGTGATTCAGACCTCAGAGCTACAGTTCCCAGCACTTTTAACAAGCTACAGTTCCCAGAAGTCTTTGGGAGGAAGAAATGTGTCATGGAACAGAAAAGGACAGATTTCACCTCTTCCCAAGTTTACTATGCTTATTTGAATGTTTTGTTTTTAAAGATTTTATTTCTTCTTTTTTTTACTCTGCCTTTACATTTCAAAATTGCTTAGTTATTGCAAATGAGCAATAACCAAGGAGAAGTCTTTTAAAATAGCCACACTGTGCTTTGCCACTTGCCTGAGTGAGCATCTCCCACCCCCACCCCCAAAAAACCACCAAGTGGCAAATAACTTGAAGCACTTTCCTTCTGTGTTTTTTACATTGCCCTGTGTTGTTAATTATTCACCTTTATATCCTTTCCTTCTTCCAAGATACACAAGCTATATACAGTACGTACATAGGAGCCAGTGTGGTGTAGTGGTTAGAGAGCTGGACTAGGACCTCTGAGCCCAGGGTTCGAATCCCCACTCAACCACAAAGCTCACTGGGTGAACTTGGGCCACCCACCCACTCTTAGCCTGACCTATCTCACCTGGGGGCGTGGTGAGGATAAAATTGAGAGGAAGAGATATATGTATGCCACTTTGAGCTCCTTGCAGGAAAGGTGAGATATAAATGCAATAATTAAATAAATACAGATTGCCCTCCTCGTCTTCTCAACAATCCCGGGAGGTAGCCTAGGCTAAAATGAGGGGATTGTCCAAGGCTACCCAGTGAACATCATGCCCAGGCCAGAGATTCTGGGTCTCATTCTAGGCAGGGCTGTGACCCAGCTGCACAAACTCTGCCTTTTTCAAAGCTGAAAGAACCAGCTGGCCAAAGTGGCGCCACGGCTGTGGTTGTTACTTAAATGCAAAATACTTTACAATGCTACTGAGCATCTGTCTTCTCAGAAATTCTTACAGCCACCCTTGTAAGGAAGGCCAGTATTATTACTGGGCTTGTGTTGCACATGCAGAGCTGTGTCTGCAAACTAGCAGCACGTTGGTGACCACCTAATCAATGGAGACCTTAGGCAGCAGTCTAACCAGGGACTTTGTGGCCAGTGG